GCCTCACCCCCGTGTGCGTTCTCCCCGCTTGCCCCTCCCTCCCTCTCCCCTACCTCTTGGCTTTCCCCTCCCTCTGACCTTCATTCCCCTACCCCTCTGCCCTTCCCTCCCCGCTGACTCACCCTCCCCGCTCTGCCCCTCCCCTTCCCGCTCTGCCGACCCTTCACCGTTCTTCCTCACCCTGTCCATTCCCGCCTCTTCCCTACCCCTCTCCGCCCTTCCCCCGCCCCTATCCACTGTGCGTCGCCCAATCTGCCCCTTCTTACGCGAGGTCTGCCCGCTCCCCCGGCTTCGCCTTTTCGCGCGCGCGCCGCCCGCTGCGGCGTTCCGTATTTATTAGCTGCCAAGGTCGCCCCGTTGCATTGCGAGGCTCGCTCCGCCCCCGGCCCCCGCCCCGCCCCCACCTGCCGCGCTTTCGCACCTGCCCACTTGGCGCAAGCGGTGCGAGTGCGTTTCCGAGGACCGAGACAATAGTCTCCAGCGACAGGGCGCGCGCTCTGGCCTGCGGCCGGGCCCTTTCTGTAATAGCTCGGCGAGCACGTGCACTACTCGCAACTTGGTGTCGGAGTCGCCGAGCAGAAATGTGGTGTGGTTCCACTTGCGACGCGATATAAACGTTAAGAATAGAACTTACGTACGTCGTGTGTAATGTGCTTATGTGTATGGTTAAAATGATTCTTGAAGTAATTAGGTGACTAACGGAAAGACTTACTGCCTTTAAAAATGTTATCCCGAATCTTAATTAAAGTTTGTTATAAAAATTACTTTTAAAAACGCGTGTTAGACATGCGATTTTTAAGAAAACATAAATAATTAACATTAAATAGGTTTATGTACAAATTTGTGGGGCGCAGAAGCAGGCGTTTCGGGTATGGGCTGCGGACCCTTGTGACCTTTGCAGCGTGAGAAAGCTCCTCGTACTGTCACCATCCACCCAAGCCTACCCCAGACCCCCCTCATCACATACAGGAACAATGCACACACACACACACACCCACGCACACGCAAAGGATACGAGCTTTGCCCCACGATTTTCTCACTAGCGGTCTCCCATTTCAGACATAATCGAACCCTGAGCACGCCCACAGCTATTGAAGTTGATGATGCGCAACACTTGAACCCATGGCCTCTTTTCTTTCTTCTATCTTCGTTGTGGTGAACAGACTCGTGAATAGAGCCCGCAACCAGACTCGAGGTGAATGGAAAGTCGGCGATCCCCCAAAACTTTTTCATTATATTTTTTCACATTGATGCCATAGCTATTATTAATGTATGCATCATTGCGGACTATCGGAAGTTTGATGTCATGAGAGTGGCCATACACAGACGAAATCGAAGTTAAGCGTAATTCATAATTTCGCGAAAGGCTTAAGTTATCACTTGAGACATATACTGTGCAATTAGGCAAGACAATGAATGTATAAAATGGCGTGAAAAACACAAATCATTTGGTTTTTCTTGTGATTTCTCTGAAGTGCATGTAAGCATCGTCAAAGGCGTTTCCAATTTTACAGGATGGTAGCTTCAACTGAAACTCGACTTCCAGCGGGACTAACAACTACGAGTGTAATTTACAATTTTGAGAACTCCAGTAGAGCATTAGTCTTTGACTCACGCGTTGGGATAGACAAACGATTTCACTAGACCTTATTACCTCGGCCAAATAAATTTTTAGATATATAGAGAAGTCGTTGAGGTATGGACAGAGACCCGAAAATAAGGCAGCAAGCAAGAAGTATAGAACAAATTAGGCCGGACAAAAAAATAACTTAGGATCACGTTGATTGTAATCTAGTATAACGCGTCTTAACTCTATTCTCCAATGCGTGATGTTTAGGTAGAATAGCACGTACGTTCCTAGAAAATTATACTCGTCCACCATTTATTTTTCATTGCCGTTAATATCACATCTCTCTCTTTGGGGGCGGCCCAAGGTCGGCGCGGGGCGTGGGAGAGGCCGCATGAGCGCCGCACGTGGGCGCGCAGCGACGCGGGAGGCGGCCGATTATTCGCGCATGTCACCTGTGGACGCTTGTCGTGGCGTCGGCTGACATAGGAGGAATGTATACTGGGATTTAAATATAACTGCGCCTGACGTAAATCAGCTGTTGCGATGTCTTCCAATCGGAAGGTTGAACGTCACTATAGTGAAGTGTAAGCTCCCGATTGGATGACACCGTAACAGCTGACGACCTGCCAACTGCAAAAATAAATCGAAGTATACTATAAGGGAGCAGTTTGACAGGTCGGGACACAGTGAATCAATCATGCAGGGCGATGCCATCGCAAATGATAGTGATGAAATCATGTACAAACGAGCTATCTTTAATGAACGCATTGGCAAAATGAGTGCGTGGACATAAACTGCAGTTGTGTTGTCAGAAGGGGTCAAGCAATAGTTGTCAAAGCAGTCTATTCTAAATTAATCATTTTGTAAGTAATGATTCTATATTACAGGGTTTTTGCTCGTCGAAGCGTTAGCAATCGGCAGCCCTGTCGGTCTTCTGCGCATGCGCAGAACGTCGTAATAACTGCCGATTACTTTACGCTTCGCCGTCCTAAAACTCGTTGTTGCTTGTGTTGATTTGCCGAGACGCGCTTCGCCCGCTCAACCGCAGCATTGTTGTCTCTGCAGCATTGTTGAGCGGAATGACCTAGGGTACGAATCCTGACGGTGTCGGGGTATTGGACACCAGCTAGGTAGCTTGGTTGAGTTTGGTTGTATGTTTGTTTGCAATGGTTATTAAGCCTGTGAGTGTAGAACATGTTAGATCGCGGGGTCTGTATTCCCTCATGTTGTGGTGGCTCAACAATCAGACCTCACGATTATCTGTAATTTGTTTTCTAGAAAATTCTCAAACAAACTGATAATTCACACGTCCGGTAAAATTGAGGTGTAGACTCTAATGCTGATTGCGTTGGAATACGTACAGCAATTAACAGGCAACTGGACATCACCTGTCCTGTAGCTTAAGAGAAATTGTAGCGGAGAGAAGTATTATAAACTTCCATGTGTTAAAGAACATAATAGGCCATCTGTAAATCAACTCGACCCACGACAAATCAATCTTGCGCTGGTATGTGTAGCCGATTCCTCGTCACATTTTAACGTACTAGAAAGTAAATTCACGTGATCAATTGAGCGAAATTAATAACGTTCCGAAAATTTAATCTGCCAAAAAGTGGATGCCGGTGTGCAAGTGTTAATGTTCGCGAATAATATGGAATTATAGCCGCTCATTAAGGAAGATTCGCTGGGATGCAACGGGGAAGCTTTTGGGGATTGTTAGGATTTGGCAAACGCGGCGCGAGGATCAATGGCCCGTTTCACATTAATTAAAATAAGTAAATAAGAAACAACGTACATTGAAAGAGATCAGGTTTGTGGTAGTACACGTACATTCACTTACGGACATCTCTTTCGTGCGTGATGAAATGGAGTCTTGTATTTATTGTCAGTTGAGTGACGCTGCTTCGGATGTTCATGGCTTTATTAGAGAAGATGTACTCGAGTGGAGTGACCTATATGAAGAAGCACCAATAGAAGGTTCCTTCCTGCCTCATTTGTGCAAAACTTTGGGTCCACACATAGGGTATAGGTGTGCAATTTTTTTTCTCCGTATGCAGGGAGATATCGGGTAATTTTCCACCTGCAGGTACTCGGCGACTTAAAGTGTAATTTCAGGTAGTCGACGCGTTACTGGTCAGCACGCATGATTATGTGAGAAGATTAAAAGAATTTGGTTAGTGCAGCAATGAGCTACTCTGACTGTATCGTTACCAACAACTGTGAAATGTCCTTAACGTACGCGAGACCCGAATCCACAGCTTTCAATGTACTTAAGAGATCCTGTTCCTAGCTTCTCAGCAATCACAAGTTCATCACCATCGTTATTAATGTTAATAACCATTATCTCACGTCCGTTAACTTACTCTCATGTAGGCCAAATGGAATTGTTTTTTGGAATCCTAATAATGTGTCATATCGTTAACTTGATGGCGATCAAGTTCAGATGGCGCGTCAGAAAAGTCATTGGTGAATTAGTATCAGTGGGTAGTGAGAGTGCTAGCATAAGTTTTTCTCGCCACAATCATAACTAATGCTGAAGGGTATTCCCGTCACATATTTCGCAGTGGTCTGGTTGCTACCAACATCAATGCAATTTTTAATAGGAGGCCCTTATTCTGCCCTGTGCGAAGGGACTTTCCTGACGCACTGTATTCTTAACCAGGACCCTACAATAGAGAGGTGGCTTCGGCTGGTGTCTCCGTTGTTAAGGTTGCCTCTATAAATAACCATTTAATTAAACTTAAAATACACAAATATTAATATTTATTTCAAAAGTTTTTTTGACCGTGCGTCCTCTCGTTTACAGACTCGACGTCGATGGGCGGTTTTGTGGGGTTTCGCGCGCGTTCATTGAATGCAGAGGACAAAACGCTGCTCTGTCGCAGGCACCGGCTGTTTAGCTCGTATTTTCGTGTTCGCGTGCGGGGGTGGGGTGGGCAATGAAATGACGCGTGCCTCCGACTGCGCCGGCGGGCTCTGTGCGGAATCGTTTCATGAAATAGGGCGCAGTCTCTACTGTTTGTTTCGCGTCTTCGAAAGAGCTATTCATCCCGGGAATATGTGGGAGGGAGCATTGATTTCGGGCAGCGGGTGTCTAAATACGATTGGAATTCCATCTACAATTACGCACTGCTGGCGCCAGTAGAATTCAGAAGCGCAAGTTTGCTATAAAATTGTTGACATTGTACGCGCTGCCTACGGGGAATGTGGAACGCGGGTGCCCTCACTCCAGGCTCTCGGAGCAGATAGAAATTTGTTTTCGTATATTGATTTCCTGGGTCGATTGCTTATGCACCTTTGTTCGTGATAGTTTTGCTTTTGATATTTTTCACCCAATATTTGGTTGTTTAGATAAGCTTAGACTTCTTTTTATGGGGTTTAGTGAGGGTTGATAAATACAGAATTATAAGAAACTAACGTAACGGTAACCCTACAAACAAAGTTCACGTATGCGTATTTTGTGTGTGCAGAAAATGGAATATACGGTTATTGTGATTATATTATCCAAATAATAAAGAAATGTGGCGGCCAGTTTGTATATTAAACTCATTAAGCGCTCGATTCTTGCTCAATACTTGCCATGTCACCAGTCACCTTGACATGGCAGCCTCGTCAGCCGCGATTGCCCTCCGAAATGCATGGCCAATTCCGCCCAGCGAATAAGATGTACGTGAACTCTGTGTGAAAGAGTACCATGGGGGTTCATTCGTTCGTTGGTTTAAAACCAAACCCATCTCTGCCATTTCAAGTGGTTCGTTGAGCGGTCGGGCAGCCCGCAGTCTTCGTGTTTACCCCAAGGGGAGCGGAGCGAGTCGGGGAAGGCCTTGCAGAGGGCGCTTCGTGGCCCGCCGGGGGGGGG